GTCCTTCAATTTTGTGATATATGTTGCCTCTCTTCTATTCCTTATTTTATTTGCTAACCATCTTCCAGGTTTATTCGCGTTCATAAAATAATTCTGCTTAATATATTTTAACTCTTTTTCCCTTTCTTCCGTTTCCAACAGTTCTCTCTGCTTGTGTAGAAGTTCTAATCTTTGTTTTGCTTTTTTGTTTTGCGGGTTTACTTTCAGCTTTCCTTCCTCCTCTTCAATTCCTTCAAGTATCTCCTTCATTTTTTCTCTTTTTTCCTTGTTCTTTCTACTCTTTTGTTGTATAAAATTTCCTCGCATAACGGCCTTGCTTGCCTCCCATAGTGTAAATATTTGTATCTCTGGACCATCATTTATCTCAAAATACTCCTTTAGTAGTTTCCTATTTCTTTCTATATCTTCTTCCTTTTTTAATAGATTTTCATCCAATCGCCATCTTCTTGTTTTCTCCATTGTTTTTATTTCCAATTCCAGTGCACAGTGGTCTGAATTTATCCTGGGCAAGATTAACACCTTAGAGACATTTATTTGTAGAGATGATGTTATCCACATCATATCTATTCTTGACCATTTGTGATGTCTTGCTGAGTAATATGTGTAATCCTTTTTCTTTTCGTTTCTAATTCTCCAAATATCTACTAGGCATAGCTCCTGCATCAATTTCGTCATTGATTTTGGTAAATCTCCCTTTGCCTCCCCCTTCTTTTCTCCTATTTTCTTTGTCCCACTTATATCAATTTCTCTGTTTAATACACCATTAAAATCTCCTAACATTATCATCTGTTCAAATTCTTGATCTTCTATATTTTTCTTCAACCTTTCTACAAATTTTGTCTTAGAATTGTTCGGCGCATATATATTACAGATGAGTATTTTTTTATTTTGTAGCCAGATAATAACCCCTAAGAATCTTCCCTCTTCATCTTTAAAGACTAATTCAGCTGTTATATTCTTGTCTACATATGTCACTAAGCCTCTTTTTTTCTCCTGTGCCGATGCAAAGAATGCCTGTCCTAGTTTTTTATTTTCTAAATGTTTGGTATGTCTACTCATTATGTGTGTTTCCTGCAACGCAATAATCTGATAACTCTTTTTCTTTAATCCATTAAATATTTTATTTCTTTTATTAGGAGAGTTCATCTCATTCACGTTATTCGAGTAGATTCTTAGGTTCTTCAACATATTTCTTTTTCCTTCTCTTCTTCCTTCTCTTCTTCCCTTGTTATCAGTTCTCTCTCTTCTACCTCTGCCTGTCCTTCTTCTATTTCCTCTCCCTCACTTAGTTCCTCTTCTTCACTTTCTTCCTCCTCCTCTGGGTCACTTAAGTTTGGTATTCCTGCGCCTTCTTCTGAGAATCTCCTCATCTCCTCTTTTTCAGTTTCTTCTTCCTCTAAAGAGTCTGTGCGTTTCTTCTTCTTCGTTCCTCCTTTTGTATGTTCCCCTTTCTCTCTCTCTTTATCCAACATTAATCTATTTAGAAATTCTTTTGCTCTTTCCTCACTTTTGATCCAGAATCTTTGTTCTTTGTATGTCAGCATCAGACCTTCTTCTCTTTCCCAACTAAATCGTATTCTCTGTCTCTTTAATTCTTCTGTCAGGGGCGCGTATTTTCTCCTTCTTTTCAGAACTATTCCCGGAAATTCTTTTAATATTACTACTTTCTTTCCTTTGTAGTAAATTTTCCTCTTGTTGTTAAATCTCAAAACATCATCTCTCGTTGTCTTTTTCACAAAGTTCACTATCACGTCTCTTGGAGTCTTGTTTCTCCTTGCGTAGTTCGTATTAATTCTGTATATTCTGTCTGTCCATTTCTGTATCTTTTGTCCAGTACATTCCATTAATTCTGCCAGTATTTCTGTTACTTTCTCTCTTATATTCTCATTGGCATCCTCCTGAATGTTCCTTAATCGTAGTTGAAATTCCATTTCTTTTGCCTCAAGTTCCTCCTGTTTGGTCTCCATCCTCACACTTTTGACTTCTAGATTCCTCATTTTCGTTTGTGTTTCTTCCTGTTCCTTCTTCATTCCTTTCTCTTCTTTCTTTAGTTCTTTCACTTCTTGTTGTATTGTTGAAACCTCCATTTTCAGTTTTCCTAATTCTTCTCTTATATCCTTTTTTAGGTCTGACATCTGCTCCTGTGCAATTTTTTGATATATATCTTGTCTTTCTTTTATTGTCTGTACCTCCGTCTTCATTGTCTGAATTTCTGTCAATACCTCCGTCATCATTTCTTTCATCATCTCCTTTAAGTTTAGCTCTTCTGTTACAGACATCTTCCTTGGTGTCCCTTTTGTTTCCTTCCCATCTTTCTCTCCCTTGAGCTTGTTTGCTGCCATTTTCTGATTTCTTATTTTCTTCCACCCCTTTATGTCCAGCCACTCTCTCATGTAGTCTATCTTCTATGTTTATCAGATGTCTTCTCACTTCTGTAGTTTGACTCTTTAATACTTCAATGTTCTCTAACCCCCCCCCTTTTTTTCACTCTTCAAGTGTTCTCTCACTTTGAGTCCCAAACTTTTTTTTTAAATTATTAATTATTATTATAATTTTTTTATTATTATTTTTTATTATTATTTATTTGTTATATATATTTATATTTGTATTTATTATATATATATATATATTATATATGATATATTATTCCAATTATTCCAATTATTCCAATTATTTAATTGTCTTTCCACTCCACCTTTTTCTTCCCCGCTTTTCACTCACGTTTATTTCTTTATTTTCTTTCTTTGCTTGGTTCTCTTCTTCTAATTCTTCCTCTTCCGTTTGACTCCTTTCGGCTTTTTAACGTCTTCTTCCTTATTTCCTTTCCCTTCCGTTCCTTTTCCGGTCTCCTTGTCTTTGTGATGCCCTTCTTCCTGTTGTTACGTTGCCCTTCTTCCTGTTTGCGGTCCTCTTCTCGCGAGATTTCTTTCTTTATCCCTTTCGCGCTTCTCGTTACTTCTCGCGATGTTTCTTCCTTCTCACTTCCCACTAAATCTCGCGGATCGTCTCGCGTGATCTCCCTTCCACTCCCGCGAGATTTCCCACCTCTCGTCACTTCCTGTCTTCTTGCCTTTCCCTCGTCCACGTGCGTTCTCTCCGCCCTCCTCCGCTGCTAAACTCCACACTTGTGCCACACTCACTGGGCTGAAGACTAAACAATCCAGCTCAAGGTCGGTTTACTCTTCCGTTGTTTGTTATCTTGTCTTCTCTTCTTCTCTTCTCTTCCCCCCCCCTTTTTTTTAAGTATGCCAATTTCACTCTTGTATTCTGATTTAATTAGCAGCTAGCAATTATTCTTACTTTAATTAATCTTAAGTAGTTTGATTTAAGCTTTAAGTTTTAAGTTTCCTTTTTCATTCAGGCTTTACGTTCCCTTTCCCCCCCCTTCTTCTTCTTCTTCTTTCTGATCTTCTGTTCTGTCTGTTCAGTCTGTTCTTTCAATTTCCCTTTATGCCACTTTATGCCACTTGATTCTTAATTTTTTAAAACCTTAACCCCTCTCGTGCCGATGGCTACTTCCTCTTCAACTCCTCCTCCGTTTCCAACCTTTTCCAACCTTTTCTTTCCTGTCTTCTGTCCTCTTAAGGATCTTTATACTGCCTATTCCATCTTCCTTCTCTTTTGAGAAGTGCTCAATAACCTCCTTCCAACCCCTTTCTCTTCCAGTTTTTCTTCGTCTTTCCTCCTTTACCTCCTTACCTCCTTACTCTTCTGTTAAAATGCAGTCGGTCGGGGATTTGCAGGCTTTCACCCACCACGATCAGGGTGACCCGCCGTACCTTGGGGACCATGTACCGGATCCTTTCAGGGACCTCCTCTTGAGGAGAAGGCCCCCTTTCGGACCATCGGTTGGCCCCCCCTGGTTTCGCAGTTCCCCCCACTTCGATCCACGGGGGGAAGGGAGCTGTTGCTCTACCCGGTCTCCCTGTCGTGCACACACTTTTGCGGAGTGCTCAGTGTGTGCTGCTCCCCGCCATGTTCCTGCACTGGAAGTCAATGAACAAGTTTTCTGAAGCCGTCACAGAAGAAGTCGACACTCTGTTTCCGCAACCCATCGTGCACAGATCTTCTGATAGCCAAGCAAAGCAATAATGTGATCCAGATGTTCTTGTGAAATACCGATTATGCTTGAAATTTCTATTTGAGTGAAATGACGATCGTCCTGAATCAATCTGTCAATCTTTTGCTTTGAAACTCGGTGGTTGCTGTCACAGGATGTCCAACTCTTTGTTTGTCACGCAAGTCAGATGTTCCCACCTCAATATCTTTAAACTTACTCACCCAACGACACACAGTATTCACATCAACACAATCACCATAAACAGCTTGCATTCTCTGATGAATCTCCTTTGTGGTGACACGTTCTGCTGTCAAGAATTCAATGACTGCACGTTGCTTAAGTTGCATTGACTGACCGTCTGCGCAGGGTTCCATACTTTGCACGTTAACAACACAACTGTTCAATGCTAAGGCTTCTCGCCAAAATGGAACTGTAGAGGAGAGTCTACTGAACAAGACATACCAGTACTCCCATCTGTTGAGGAGTTACAAAGGTGTAGGCATTACTTTTCATTCAACCTTCTAACACCCATCTCTTCTAAGGTTTCAAGTGAGGGAAAAAACACCAATCATTACATCTCTCCTGACACACAAGCGGAGAGAGATCTCAAAGCACACAGCACATGCTCTCCATACTAAGATGTAAGAAGGCAGAAGATTCAGAAAGGCTTTTAAACAACCAGAATGAGAGCAGAAAGACGAGAGAAGAAAAAGACACATTCAGGAGACATGAGGGAAGGGAAACCCTTAGTCTATACTAAGCTAACTAAACTTCCTCCTTGAGGACTTGAGATTTGGGCAGTGTGAAATTGAATTCCAACAGAAGGGTGCAAGACACAGTGCACTGGAGATAGATCAAGGTAGCAGGTGGTCAACAGCTCATAGGGTTGGCTTTTCAGATTCGAAACCTAGCTTATGCTCTTAATTATTCCTAATTTCAGGGTGCTGGCATTGAAATCTACCCAGGAGGCACATGTACTTTGATAGGAAACGGCATCCACCATTGCAAAGAGGGAATCCTTATAAAAGTGAGTCCTTGCTTAAATTCTGAGCTTCATATTTGGGCCCAAATGGCAGACACTCATTTGAATTGTGTCTTATGTTCTTTCTTTTTAAAGGGAAGGGTAAAATAATAAAAAACAATATATTATTTTTAATATATTTAGAATAAGGGCATATATTTGAGTGGGTGCCAGAGGCTAATTTTTGCCCAGGCCTCTCCACATTTCGTGTACCCCACGCTTTGGGGGGTTTCGGGGCCCACAAAAATGGGATCACATGCCCATGTACGGGATCATGGGTTTAGGGTGCGGGGTCCCTTTTTCAAAGAAATCCACGGAGTCCAATAGGTTCAGGTAAGGCAGTTTATTCAAGCTGATCAGCATGAGGTGGACAGACAGCCCTTTTGTAAGTGCTTCAACAGACTGCCGCCCCCTCCTCGGCTTTCTAAAAACCTATATACTCAAGTAATCCAAGAGTTTTTTAGTCATGGAAAGTACTCTCTTTCCAGCCCCCCTCCCTTGACCTTTTGATGGAAAGTATCTTCTTGCACCTGCAGACTTTGCGCTTAACCACAACCCAACTTCCTATGTAAGCTTGAACTTTGTATGACCTCTACATGCCACCTCTTGTTTTTAAAACATTTTCTTCCATTTCTCTTTTGTTGCTAATTTCATTCAAAGCCCATTGCTTAGCTATTGTTAATTTTACTCAAAGACCCTTTCACCCGGAGCTTCTTAAATGTTTGGTACTTTGATTGTGGGCCTCTTCGCTTAGTCTTTTTGCTTTTCAGGACTTTTTAGATGAGAACTACGTAATCCCCAAGATAACCATGGTGAACAACGTGATCCACAACAATGAAGGGTATGGAGTGGTCTTGGTGAAACCTGCGGTCTCCCCGGATATCAAAGAGAATTCTTTAGAAAGCGCAAAAGGTAAAATAATGATAACAGCAATAACAATAATACTCTTCTGGTCATGGGCAATAAAGCAGAGGAATCTCAATTATCCTCCCCTCCATGAATCAGGAAGTGGACACAATATTGTCTCTCCAAATATGAAAACAGAGCATTCATGGGTTTTTGTGTCCAAGTGTCCTACTGTATTTATTTATATCCTGTCTTTTTCCCAGCCTGGGGTTTAAGGCAACGTACAAAGGTTACAACAGCAGTAGTTCAAAAGTTTGCACAAAGCAAACGTGAAAAAGAAATATAGTACTGACAATAGAATTTAAAGTATTTACAAGGAAATAAGTAAATAAAGGTGCCACATTTGGAAAATCCCTTTCCCTTTGACCAGGGACCACTCTCCAATATTAGTACCCAAAGGGTTTTTGGTCAACTTTAGATTTGGCTTGGTTATCTGGAGGGGCTGATTTATTTATTTATTTATTTTTATTTAGAGTATTTACATTCCGCCCTTCTCACCCTGCAGAGGACTCAGGGCGGATGTTGCAATCCAGAGCAGGGAACGAGGCCCTAAGATAACTATCCACCACACTTGGCTGTGAAAAAAATCCTTTTTTATTGAAGAAAAATGGTTACAAAATAAAGGAAAAATGCAAGTCAAAAGCCACAGCAAAATCAGCAAACATGAATTTAAATGGACAAAGCAAAACCAAAAGCCTCACTGGGAAATACTGGAATCTGTTAGCAATCCACTAACCGTACTTGATATCCTAGAAATCTTCCCAAACTATGGCCAGGGAACCGGGAGTAACAACGGAAAAATTTGTTTCTAAAATCGATTCGTTTTTTGGGGGTTTTTGCGTTTCGTTATTTAAAATAATTAAAAAATTTTCCTTTTAAAAAGTTCGATATTTACGAAATTTCGTAAATGTGAAAAAAATTACAAAACATTAACGAATCGATTTCCGAAACAATAACGAATCGATTCGTTAATGGCGGACGCGACCGCGAAATACGCTAAAAAACCTCCAAAAACTTCTGAAGCTTCTCTCTCCCTCTGTTGTTGACTGTTGGTGTGATATTATAATTTTTTTTCACTAATTAAACAAAAAACAACCATAAAACTTGCCCCAGACATGCGGAAATAATAACGAAACGACCTCAAAACAATAACGAAACGAATACAATAACGAAATACGAAGCATTTACAAAACGTTTTTGAAAATTCATTTTTTTGATAATTGCTCCAGAATGGTTCGTTATCGTTTTGTAATTGAAAAAATTAACGAATTATTAACGAACTACGAATCAACGAAACGAAACCGTCCAGCCCTAATGGCCAGGGAACCGGGAGAACTGCCAAAGTCTTCATCAATTCTGAAACGATGCCTGAACTGAGAAAGTCAGCCCGGCGGAAGGCAATTAAAGCCAAAGAATTGGTTCTGTGAACCGCCCTTCTTTTTGAAGCCAATGTTTTTAATTCTTGAATTCGGGAGGATCGACGCAAACTGAGTGATTTACTTCTGTCTTCCCAAATTTGGCCCCTTCTGTTGTCATTACAGTTAACAGGTGCAGAAGGGAGGGAAAGTTCAAGGTCTCCCTCTGAAACATTCTCATGAACACTGGTAGTTTCATTTTCCAAATCTACAGAAGTTCCTTCCTCACTAATTTCAGGAACATTGGCATTTTCCAAACCTACAGCAGTTTCTTCCTCACTAATTTCAGGAGCATTGGCATCAAAGGGTACATTTTCATTAGCATCAGTAAATATACTTTCATTAGCATCAGGAGGAACAAACAGAGAATCAGGTTCAAGTTCAAACTCAGGCTGAACCCCAACAGCGGATCACAATGTTTGTTTGTTTATTTATTTACAGTATTTAGATTCTGCCCTTCTCACCCCACAAGGGACTCAGGGCGGATTACAATGTACAGATACAGGCAAACATTCAGTGCCTTAGACACACAACACATATAGACAGTCAGAGGTTATTTAACATTCCAGCCGCCAGGGGAGTTGTTGCTTCATTGTCCATCTGCGACACTGATGAAGGACTTCCACATTCCCCACATGCTCACTGATCTTTATGGCCTCGTAAATTAGTTAAATTAGCCTCCCCACAAAGTGGTACCTAAATTTCCTACTTGACAGATGCAACTGTCGTTTGGGCTGCAAAGGTCGACAATAAGCTACACAAATTTGGTCGGAAGCGCACTCCGACTCAGGGTGGCTTCGAACTCATGACCTTTCGGTCAGTAGTGATCTTAATGCAGCTGACACCCAGCCAGCTGCGCCAAAGTCCCACCAATGTTTGTTATTTATTTATTTCCAGTATTTCTATCCCACCCTTCTCAACCCCTGACCGGGCAAATATAAACACAAACAGTTTAAAACAGTAAATAAAACATCAACCATATAGCCAGTTTCAGTCTGGTTCAACATCCAAGGTGCTGTCATGCTTGCTGTCCAAAGGCCTGGTCCCAGAGCCATGATTTAACCTTCTTCCTAAGAGAAAGGAGGGAAGTAGCCAACCTGAGCTTGCTGGGGAGCGAGTTCGACAGGCGTGGGGCCACCGCCGAGAAGACCCTGTCTCTCGTCCCCGCCAAGTGCACTTGTGAGGCTGGCAAGACTGAGAGCAGGGCCTCCCCGGACGATCTTAAGCTATGAGGTGGGATGTAAAGGGAGATACGTTTGGACAGGTAAGCTGGGCCGGAACCGTATAGGGCTTTATAGGTCAAGACCAGCCCTCGGAAGTGGACTGACAGCCAGTGGAGCTGGCACAATAGAGGGGTGGTGTGCTCCCTGTATGTCGCTCCAGTTAGTAAGCTGGCAGCTGCCCGTTGGACTAGCTGAAGTTTCCAAACAGTCTTCAAAGGCAACCCCATGTAGAGCACATTTTAGTTGTCTATTCAGGATGTAACCAGAGCGTGGACCACTATGGCCAGATCAGGCTTTCCAATTTTCTGATTCAGAAAATTGCATTGAATAGACCACATTAGCTCTAGTTTCTGATACAAAGCATATGCCATTCAGTAGTTGCCATCTGCTCACCCACAGAAAACCATATTTAATAAGCCTCAGAACTATAAGAGGGCTTTGCAAGACCAGTTGCTCTTGTTGCAACGGTGTAGTAACTATGAAGTAATGTTTGGTGCAAATAAATATGTCTTTGTTTTAGTGGCCTCTGTGCGGTTTTCCGCTCATCCGTTTCTCTATTTTGGGATTGCATTGTGGGGCGGTACTCCTCCACTGGAAACTTGCAAGGCAAGAGAAATAAGCTTCTAAACAAAGCAGGAGTGGAAAAGTATGTTGTTGCCAAAGTTAAAGTGAACTTCTATTTTAAAAATACAGGTGAAAAGCTCTTTTGAAGTTCCTCAAATTCACATCTTTCTCATAAACGATCTCAGAATGCGGTTATTTTAAATATGATCAAGTAAATGCAGAAGCCTCCAGGGATGTTGTTGTTCATTTGTTCAGTCGTTTCCGACACCAGAGCTCCCTGTGGGCCGTCCTTCAAGCCAGTCACTTCAAGGATCCCATCCATCCATCTTGCCCTTGGTTGGCCCCTCTTCCTTTTTCCTTCCATTTTCCCAAACATCGTTGTCTTCTCCAAGCTTTCCTGTCTTCTCATGATGTGGCCAAAGTACTTCATCTTGGCCTCTACTATCCTTCCCTTCAATGAGCAGCCGGGCTTTATTTCCTGAAGTATGGACTGGATGGATCTTCTCGCAGTCCAAGGCACTCTCAGGACTTTCCTCCAACACCACAGTTCAAAAACATCTATATTCCTTCGCTCAGACTTCCTTCTGGTCCCGCTCTCACATCCATAGGTGACTACGGGGAATACCATGGCTTTGACTATGCAGATCTTTGTTGCCAGTGTGATGTCTCTACTCTTTACTATTTTATCAAGATTGGACATTGCTCTCCTCCCAAGAAGGAAGCGTCTTCTGATTTCCTGGCCACAGTCTGCATCTGCAGTCATCTTTGCCCCTAGAAATACAAAGTCTGTCACGGCCTCCACATTTTCTCCCTCTATTTCCCAGTTGTCAATCATTCTTGTTGCTATTATCTTGATTTTTTTTATGTTTAGCTGCAACCCAGCTTTTGCGCTTTCTTCTTTCACCTTGATTAGAAGGCTCCTCAGCTCTTCCTCGCTTCCGGCCATCAAAGTGGTATCATCTGCATATTATTTATTATTATTATTTATTTCTTGTACTTATTGACCGCCACTCTCAGCCCTAGGGGCGACTCGTGGCGGTGAACAGCAACATAAAAGACAGCATACAAAATTTACAACAATACATAACAGACTACTACTACGACATATACCTATGCTAAAAATCCGCTTCGTCTAATCCTGGGGTCATAGCCAAACTCGTAGTCATAGTCCATTCTAACGTCTTTCCACAGATACACTTAGTTGAAGGCCTGCTCGCAGAGCCAAGTTTTCAGGCTCCTGCGAAAGGCCAACAAAGAGGTTGTTAATGTTTCTTCCAGCTATTTTCACCCCAGCCTTGCATTCGTCAAGCCCCGCACATCCTCGCATGATGTGTTCTCCATACAAGTTAAAAAGGTTGGGGGAGAGTAGACCACCCTGCCGTAGGCCTTTCCCAATCTTGAACCAGTCTGTTGTTCCATGGTCAGTTCTGACTGTTGCTACTTGGTCCTTGTACAGATCCCTCAGGAGACAGACAAGGTGGCTTGGGATGCCCATCCCACCAAGAACTTGCCACAGTTTATTATGATCCACTCAGTCAAAGGCTTTAGAATAGTCAATAAAACAGGGGTGCAGCGGGTTAAACCGCTGAGCTGCTAAACACGCTGACCGAGAGGTCAACAGTTCATATCTGGAGAGCGGGGTGAGCTCCCACTGTTAGCCCCAGCTCCTGCCAACTTAGCAGGTCGAAAACATGCAAATGTGAGGAGATCAATAGGTACCGTTGGTTAAACCACTGAGCTGCTAAAGATGCTGACCAAAAGGTCAACGGTTCATATCTAGAGAGCAGGGTGAGCTCCCATTGTTAGCCCCAGCTCCTGCCAACTTAGCAGCTCGAAAACATGCAAATGTGAGGAGATCAGTAGCTACCGTGGGTTAAACCACTGAGCTGCTAAAGATGCTGACCGAAAGGTCAACGGTTCATATCTAGAGAGCAGGGTGAGCTCCCACTGTTAGCCCCAGCTCCTGCCAACTTAGCAGCTCAAAAACATGCATATGTGAGGAGATCAATAGGTACCGTGGGTTAAACCACTGAGCTGCTAAAGATGCTGACCAAAAGGTCAACAGTTCATATCCAGAGAGTAGGGTGAGCTCCCGCTGTTAGCCCCAGCTCCTGCCAACTTAGCAGCTCGAAAACATGCAAATGTGAGGAGATCAATAGCTACCGTGGGTTAAACCACTGAGCTGCTAAAGATGCTGACCAAAAGGTCAACGGTTCATATCTAGAGAGCAGGGTGAGCTCCCACTGTTAGCCCCAGCTCCTGCCAACTTAGCAGCTCAAAAACATGCAAATGTGAAGAGATCAATAGGTACTGCTATGGTGGGAAGGTGTCTACCAACTCCCAGAGTTGGAAAGGACTAGACTTGACATCAGGGGAAAAGCTTTACCTTTACCTAAGCAAATGCAATGGAGATGCGGATTATAGTCATCCGAAGTTCTTTTGCCTCTGCAAACAGAAGAGCCTGGAGGAGATGGCAAAAACCCATAATAACTAGATTTGCTGTTCTGAAAGCCTTCTCAGTATTTTCCATGTATTGTCTTCCTGTTCCTAATTTAATTAGGTTATTACTGCTGCTGCCGGGAACCTTGTCCTAGACGCAGGGAAGGATTTTCATTGAGCTAGCCTTAGAGCCAGCCTTGGATACAAACCAGGGCATCAAAGAAAGCCCTTCCTTAATTATGTATGTTTTAGCCCTAAGATTGTGAAAAGAAAAGAAGAGCCAAACTTGGAACAAAAGAAGCGCCACTAGAATTAAATTTGGCCCAGGAAAAATAGATCAGGAAGCTGGTTTAAAGAGCTAGTTGTAATTGATAAAATCCCTTACATCTCAGATTTGGGTCATTTGAAAGGCCGTATTCCACCATGCAAACCTGCCTGTGATTTGGAAACCTGGAAAAGGGATTTATTTCATGTTTGCTAGAGAAAAACTAGCTCTCTCCCTGCTATCTTTCCATTGTCAGGAGCCTTTAAATCCTGTTTTCAAGGCTGATTGCAAACTGTAATCCGGGGACCATCAGTGGTCTGCAAGAACTAAAATATGGAATCTCCTTTCTTGTAGTTTGAAGCCATTGTTCTGCGTCCTAGTCTCCAGAGCAGCAGAAAACAATCTTGCTCCCTCCTTCCTATGACTTCTTCTCACATACTTATACATGGCTATCATGTCTCCTCTCAGCCTTCTCTTCTTCAAGCTAAACATGTCCTGCTCTTTAAGCCGCTCCTTATAAAGGAGTCGAGAGAGAGAGGCTTTATTTGGGAACAAAATCCAAATCCTAAAAGCAGAACACCACTTAGATTGGAATGAGGCTTCTGCGACTGAATGCCCCAAAACAAAAGCTGTAAGGAAAGCGAGAACTTTCTTCTGGTCGAAAACCCTTTTGAAAACTGCCACCAACTTAAAAGCACTGATAAGCCCTTGGCTTACTTGAGGTATCTTAGGCAAGAGTGTGTTGGATTTAGTTCTCAGGCTTGTGTTTCTGAGGTAACACTAAAGATTGATCTTTAGATTATACGCTGCCACCATTACTTGATTACTGCAGGAATCTGCTTTTAAAACTTCATCCACGTGAGGCACACGTGAGGCAGATGTTGTGAATAACAAAACAATGATGTTTATTTAAGAGAACAGGAACAATTCAGATATAAAACTTAGCTGTTTCAAAGTACTGACTTAAAAAGTGTGCGGTTTCATAAATACTACTACTAATAATAAAACTTTATTTATATACCGCTCCATCTCCCTGAGGGGACTCAGAGCGGTTTATTTATTTACTGTATTTGTATACCGCCTTTCTCAGCCAATTGGCGACTCAAGGCGGTTCCCAGGTAACATCACAAAACTTACAAAGTAAACAACAACATAACCATAAGATTAACAAAACAAAATACAAGCATAATAATTGTCGCCACAACACACATATATTAAAAGTAATCCTGCCTATTCAAGGCAATTTAAAAATAAAAAAGGCGGGGCCAAGATTTGTGCAAGCCCAAACGTTCTAGGGGGACCGGGAATTAAGTGCAATGCTATGGCAGGCAACAATAATATGAGGTACGGGTCTGTGGCTGTTCATTCCGGGGCTGATTAGAGGAAATAATCTGGGTAATTGGTTAGTAGTGATCTTAATGCAGCTGTCTCCCATCCAGTCCCAGTGCAATCTGCTTTTGTTTTGGTCCTAGGAGAAGGGAAGAATGGTGAATCCGCTGTTGGAGAGCAACGTAAAGAAGCTGGTGTCGAACCGGACTCTTACGGAGGAGTGGATGTTTCTGAGCCCATGGAGGACAATTCGGAAATTGCCAATGAACTTTCCCTCGCGTCACTCAAGAAGAACCAGACGAATAAGAAAAGACTGAGCAGCTTGAGGTTCACGGAGGCGGACGACGGCCTGATGGCTCAAGAAATGTTTGTGTCCATTGTGGGCAACCAGTTCAAGTGGAACGGGAAAGGGAGCTTCGGGACATTTCTGTATTGACTTTTCAGGAGTGCATAGGAATCGCGGCCGAGTACGGCTGTCGACAGACCCGTTCTGGAGTATCTAAAGCTTGTCCTTTGTGTGTGCTTACCCTCCTTGTGATTCTGGCATCTTCTTGTTTTTAGCAATCTGTGTGTGTTCCACCTACAACACCCTTCCTTTTGAGCAGATAAGCTTAAATACTCATATATATATTTCCCACTTTCTCTTATAGTATTTAACTTTAATATAAAACACCCCTTTCAAAATAATGTTATTGGCACCTAAGTGAAGTGACACCATGTGTTTTTTACCACAAGTAAAGGAAATGTGTGTTTGTTGTGTTGTGATCTCAGTTTCAGTAGTCTTCAATAAACATTTTTATTTTTAGGTATTTTTATTTATTTATTTCATATCAAAAGCATTGCATATTTCTCTATATATAAATGCTCTGTGCATAATGAGTACCTTAAAAACAAAAGAACCAATGAACGAAATCACACCAGATTTGGCAACAGAACGTTTCACAACACAAGGAGTGACCATCACTCAAAAAATTATGATTTTGTCATTTGGGAGTTGTAGTTGCTGGGATTTATAGTTCACCAGAAGGGTTTGGTCGGCATTGACCTTGACTTTGGATGTAGGTGAACTACAGCACCCAGAGAGCACTGTGGACTCAAACGATGATGGGTCTGGACCAAACTCGGCACGAATATTCCATATACCCAAATATGAACACAGGTGGAGTTTGGGGAAATAGACCTTGACATTTGGGAGTTGTAGTTACTGGGATTTATAGTTCACCTACACTCAAAGAGCATTCTGAACGCCACCAACGATGGTATTGAACCAAACTTGGCACACAGAACTTCCCTTGACCAACAGAAAATACTAGAAGGGTTTGGTGGGCACTGACCTTGAGTTTTGGAGTTGTAGTTTACCTACATCCAGAGAGAACTGTGGACTCAAACAGTGAGGGATTTGGACCAAAGTTGGCACAGATAGTCAATATGCCTGCATGTGAACACAGATGGAGTTTGGAGAAAATAGACCTTGACATTTGGGAGTTGTAGTTGCTGGGATTTATAGTTAATCTACAATTAAGGAGCATTCTGAACCCCACCAACGATAGAATTGGGCCAAACTTCCCACACAGAACCTCCATGACCAACAGAAAATACTATATATGATACACACACAAACACACATATACATGTATATGACAGATATAGTATCATAGACTTGAAAGGGACCCCTAAAGAAGGACAATGATATGTTGCATGTTCCAGAGTAAGCAAACCGAACAATCTCCACATCAACACTGGCAAAGAAACAGAAAAAAAATAACTGTTTACCCACAAGCATAAAGAAATTACATATATTAGAAACCAACACTTTCTCATTACTTTATTTTCCAGATCACCAGACTGGGCCACAGCAACGCCTGGCAGGGGACAGCTAGTATTGGTATAAACTGATAAAAATAGAAGGAGCACAGGTGGCTAAATATCTTTTGACCAAAAACGGGCAACAGCAACAACATTGTCTGTAGCCTCCAACAATTCTTCCTCTGTACATGAGGCAGGGCATGGTGGACAAGCATACAGATGCGGAGTTGTCTTTTCTGCTCCACAGTCACACAAGGTGTGGGATTCTTTTAGGCCGTGCCATTTTCCCATTGTTTTTAAACATCTGAAAAGTTTTAAATTTTTAGGAATTGATCTTTGGACATATGTTTGCTATAGAAATGAGTGTCCGAGTTCAACGGCCATACTGGTTAGGGCAGTGTTTCCCAACCTTCCTAATACAGTTCCTCACGTTGTGGTGAACCCCAACCATAACATTATTTTTGTTGCTACTTCACAACTGTAATTTTGCTACTGTTATGAATCGTAATGTAAATATATTGTCGAAGGCTTTCATGGCTGGAATCACTGGGTTGTTGTAGGTTTTTCGAGTGATATGGCCATGTTCTAGTAGCATTCTTTCCTGACGTTTCGCCTGCATCTATGGCAAGCATCCTCAGAGGTTATGTGGACCTCACAAGCTCTGAGGATGCTTGCCATAGATGCAGGTGAAACGTCAGAAGAGAATGCTTCCAGAACATGGCCATATAGCCTGAAAAACCTACAACCCAGTAATGTAAATATATTGTTGAAAGTTTTCATGGCTGGAATCACTGGGATGTTGTGGGTTTTTCAAACGGTATGGCCATGTTCTAGAATATGGCCATACAGCCTGAAAAATATATAACAACCCAGTAATGTAAATATCTAATATGCAGGATGTATTTTCATTCACTGGATTGAATTCAGCACAAATACCCGAAATGCCCAAATTTGAATACTGGCGGGGTTTGGTGGGGTTGGGGATTGATTTTGTCATTTGGAAGTTGTAGTTGGTGGGATTGGTAATTCACTTACAATCAAAGAGCATTCTGAACTCCACCAATGATGGAATTGAACCAAACCGGGCACACAGAACTCCCATGACCAACAGAAAATGCTGGAAGGGTCTGGAGGGCATTGACCTTGAGTTTTGGAGTTGTAGTTCACCTACATCCAGAGAGCACTGTGGACTCAAACAAGGATCTGGACCAAATCTGGCACGAATCCTCAATATGCCCAAATGTGAACACTGGTGGAGTTTGGGGAAAATAGACCTTGACATTTGGGAGTTGTAGTTGCTGGGATTTATAGTTCACCTACAATAAAAGAAGCTTCTGAATTCCACCAATGGTGGAATTGAACCAAACTTGGCACACGGAACTCTCACGACCAACAAAAAATACTGGAAGGGTTTAGTGGGCCTTAACCTTAAGTTGTAGTTCACCTACATCCAGAGAGCACTGTGAACTCAAACAGTGATGGATCTGGATGAAACTTGGCACGAATCCTCAATATGCCCAAATGTGAACACTGGTGGAGTTTGGGGAAAATAGATCTAGGCATTTGGGAGTTGTAGTTGCTGGGATTTACAGTTCACCTACAATCAAAGAGCAGAATTGTGCCAAACTTCCCTACTCAGAACCCCCATGCCTTTAAGGGACTCATTGGTGCGAGCCTCCCTTCAGCCTCACATGCTCTTCCTCAACCACACATGAGCACCACGCCTGCCGAGCACGCCTGCTCTCCCCTCCCCGCTTGGAGTCTAAGAAACAGCCTTCCCCTTAGCTGAGAGGTCGGTCAATCACAGCGAAGGAGGGCTTTTGGTAGGATTCGCCGTCTGCTTCCAAAAAGGAAGAGAAGGACAGGTGGAGAGATCTTCAACCTTCTCTGCTAAAGGTATTCCTAAGGCCATGAGAAATAAATCCTGCAAATCTCTTGGGAAGACAAGCAGACAAATGTCAGCGTGCTGGAAGAAGCAAAGACCACCAGCATTGAAGCAATGGTCCTCTGCCACCAACTCCGCTGGACCGGCCATGATGCCCAACCACCGTCTCCCAAAGCAGTTGCTCTACTCCGAACCCAAGAACGGAAAACGGACTATTGGTGGGCAGGAAAAGAGATTGAAAGATGGGCTAAAAACCAACCTTAAAAACTCTGGCATAGACACCGAGAACTGGGAAGCCCTGGTCCTTGAGCGCTCCATCTGGAAGTCAGCTGTGACCAGTAGTGCTGTAGAATTTGAAGAAGCACAAGGACGAAAGAGAAATGTGCCAAGGGGAAGGCGCATCAAGCCAACCTCACCTTGAAATGGATGCCCTCACTGCAGGAGAATATGCAAGTCAAAAATAGGGTTCCACAGTCACCTATGGACCCACCGCCAGTACACAGATCTTGCAATACAATCGGACAACAATCCGAGTAATACTACTCAGACAACGAGGGATCGCCTAAGTAAGTAAGGTGACCCTTGTGACATCCCCCTCCCAGGTTGAAAAATACTGTTCTAGATAGTCTCCAAAAGTAACTTTTCTATGTTCTATAGTTGAGGCGTAAACTTGCAAAGAACATTTTCATTCAAAGCAGACATGGGTAAACTTTGGCCCTCCAGGTGTTTTGGACTCCAACTCCTACAATTCCTAACAGCTTACCAGCCGTTAGGAATTGTTGGAGCTGAAGTCCAAAACATCTAGAGGACCGAAGTTTGCCCTTGAATGATTTAGAGCCTCGTTCTCAATCTGGACACAAAGCCATTTATTCTAGCAAACCCTATATTTCGACTTTACTTGGGCTGGAAACATAGCAAAATAATACCGCCAGAGGCACACAAACAATTTTGGGAAGGAATACTTTTTGGAGCATGCATAAGTAAAGCCATAGATGTCCTGTCCGTGGGTAAAGGGATCATACTGTGCTCAAAGTTTTCCTTTTCATCATTTAATTTTTAAAAAGAGCGTCTGATTCCTGTGCCACGAATGTCTTGAAGCTCTTTGCCAAAATCCTTGGGGACGAAGAGGAGGAAACTTCAATGCCTTGCAGATCAATGCCTCTAAACGTGGAAAGGTTTGTAAAGGAACCGCACATCAGATGTTTTCTGGAACAGGGCGGTCGGCATGTTGAGATCCCTCCAATCTGTAAAATAATACTTTCTGTAAAGAATCACAAAAATTAGAAAAAAAAGTTGATTTATGTTTTGATGTGGGAAAGACAACAAAAGATGGCATTGAGATACAGGAAAAATGTAACAGGACAGTCTTCTGGGAGAAGAACTGAATAATATTTGGGGAGGAATGTGGATGATGAAATTCAGAGACAGCTGGGAATATAGTTGCATATCAGGCCGCAGAAGGATTTTGCAGCACCTTAGAAACTAAAGGAGGGAAACAAAGTTTGTAGCATAAGCTTTCATTTCATAGAATCATAGAATCAAAGAATTGGAAGAGACCTCATGGGCCATCCAGTCCAAGCCCCTGCCAAGAAGCAGGAACATTGCACTCAAATCACCCCCGACAGATGGCCATCCAGCCTCTGTTTAAAAGCTTCCAAAGAAGGAGCCTCCAGCACACTCCGGGGCAGAGAGTTCCACTGCTGAACGGCTCTCACAGACAGGAAGTTCTTCCTCATGTTCAGATGGAATCTCCTCTCTTGTAGTTTGAAGCCATTGTTCCGCGTCCTAGTCTCCAAGGAAGCAGAAAACAAGCTTGCTTAACTGCCTTTGGTTCATGGTTTTGGTCTATGCTTTTATACTGATGCCTTGGATTCATGTTTCCCGATTTCTTGCATTTTATTTGGGAAATTTTTGAGGGATGGGGCTTCTGGGAATTGAAGTCCAAAACACCTGGAGGACCAAAGGTTGGGAACCATTGATGTAGAGGCATCCTTTTCTCTGGTCTTAATATTGAGGGTGTG